TATATACCCTAAACCCTGAACCCTAAACCCCAAACAATATATCGCGTTCCTCGATTATTCTATAGCAAACCCAAAAGTCCCAATTGTTCTTTGCAATGCCCTATCAGGTTGTATATACGAAAGAATATACAATGTTGAAACGTGTGATTATGGAGATTCAGCTCATACAACAGTGGATCATCATGCTTCCCTATTCTCTCCCCATGTTGGCAATTGGCATGATGTTGCTGGGTTATAGTCGTGTTCCAAGTCATCGACAATGTCAGTTTTTTGGGTTGTTTCCTGGTGGTGGTTTATATAGACACCGTTTCTAAACATGGATGTAACGAACATGGTTTCTAGAGAACCCATCTTCATGATATAGCTCGACGAAGTCAAAATGATGGTGCGCATCTCACAGCTGCCACGCATTGCAGAATCAGGCTTAAAGCCATGCGAAAATTGTTTTGCGATTGAACGCCATCTTCTTTTCCCGCAAAAATGCACTCACCGGTGGCCCCGCTAAGTTGACTTAGCCGGCTTGGCCGGTGGACAGCCTAAGTCGACTTATCCGGGATACCTAAGTCGGAGGTTAACCCCACTAAGTCGGTTGCCTGATGAACCATTTTTAAGTCGACATAGTCGACTTAACATAAGTTTGATAAACCGCGCCAAAGTATGACCAGCAGTCGCCTAACTACTCAAGTAGGCCTACGGCTTCTGGTAGACCATGCGGTGCTTCTGGGGCTGATTCCATCGGCGTGGTGGTCTGGCCCTTGCCGGGGCTGCTGCAGACGTAGAGCCTGTTGTGGATGCTGTTGTGGTGTAGGTGTTCCTTGTTGGGCCCTTGGTGTGGATCCCTTCGGCGCCTGGCCGCCTTCCGCCTGCAACAGGCCATGTGAGCTGTTGCGCAGAGCTTGTTGGTCTTGTAGCTCGAGCTGAGCTCCGGGTTGGGGAGTCTTGTGAAGAAGCTGCTGCTTGCGAGCCGCCAAAGCTTGTGCCTGGGAGGCAGATGGTCCTTCCGTTGCTGCAGTGAGGGCCCTCCCGCAGCTGTCGTCATCGCAGCTAGTGGATTAGGCGAGGCAGATGCCATTGCCAGCAATGGACGCTGGATAGCCGTCTGTTGCGCAGACGGTACCGTCAATGCAAAGACTGTTTGCGCACCTGGTATGCTTGGCATGGTTCCCCAGGGAACTGGGCGCCCAATGGAGCCTGCAGCTGGTTGGCCAGCAGCGTAAACGGATGCATTTCAAAACAAGCCGGGAGTACTGATGTTGGAACAGCTGGTGTTCAAATTGAGCTTCATAGGCCGCATCAGCGCTGTACTGCAAGTAGCAACAGTTCTACCCCTACCCGGCATTCACTCGTGGCAGATGTGTATGCGCTCCTGACTGAGGGTAAAATAAACAGGAAGCAAGAGGTAAACTACCTGAGTGCCACCCAACCTGCCTACAAGCGCAACCGTCGGGTGAGAATCTGAGGCATGCAATGGCATCAGCAGGAATGTAGTTGTCGTAGCCTGAACGTATTGAACACCCCGCCAAGTCCATCACCAATCTGGACTGTTGAAAGGCGTGAGTTTTAAAAGTTGCCTCAGCTAGGACTCCGGGTAAGTAAGAAGTGCCCTGCAGGACTACCACGGCGCCTTGAAGTTTTGAGGCAGCGGCTCTCAAATGGGGGTGTTGTCATCCCGTCTCTTGAATAGGCTGCTGAGGTGACTTTTCATGAAACCCTAGACCTTTGGTCTTGTGAATAGGGTGTTTTAGAGATTGGAAAGTTCTCAACTGGAAGTTTTCTTCGTTGGAGGCCCGTGCAGTCCTGATGTTTTCCTCGAGAGGGCTGTTAAGGTGGGACACCTCGGGGGTTCGAGACGCATATGGAACCAGCTGTGCATGACGCCGTTCATGACCCCTCCGCATTGATTTCGTCAAAACTTGGACCCACAGAGCTAGAGAGCTGCAATCAGATGAAAAGTCCCTTCACGCCCAGCTTCCGCCCTACTCCTGGGGAGAGTTTTGAGTGGCGAGAGACTGCTGCTACATGGTGAGCTTATGGACGCCGCAAAATGTCCTGATGCGGACTTGGTGCCTGACATCCGGTAGGGATTTAGAGTCGCGGGATGGATGAAGCTTCCAACTGTGAGTCTTTGCGAGATTTCCGGCGTTCAAGAACGCTTTACTTTTATTCAAGCCAAAGGAAAGGATAAGGAGGGTATCCATGGACATGGCAGGTCTCTTTATCTTAAGCTGGAAATTTCCTGATAAAGCCACGGCCTGGGAAGAAACCCAAGAAGGAGCTCAGCGCAGGTTGGACCTGGCTTGCCAACGACCAGGACACCCGTGGCTTGCTGGTAGCCTTGAGGTTTGCGTTACGTCAGGAACCCACCAAAATTCGCTTGATCGATGACTGTACGATAAACGGTCTAAAGGGCGCCCTAGGACGTCGTGAGCGCTTTGACATGCACACTATAAATAACTTGTCCTCTTTGGTCTTTGGTAGTGCAGGCTCTTGGGGTTGCTTCAGAGGAAGGCCTCACCGATTGGGTGAGGCGCACCTTTGATCTCAAGAGCGCTTATAAACAGTACGGTGTGCGTCCCAGTGATAAAGAAAAGCTGCGGATAGGGGTGAACCAGCCTGGTTCTGATCGTCCTGCCCTCTTTCAACCGCGGTTTGGGGAATAGGATTGCTTCTTCTCAAACTTGTTTGGTCTTCTTTTTTCGACGTCAAACTTGTTTGGTCTTCTTTTTTCGACGACTTTTTCCAATATCACACGTTCTGTCTTGGCCAACAACACGAGATGGGCAATTGAAACTGTGTTTGACTTGCGTGGGATCAACTTTGACCGTGATGGCAACAAGTCACCATATGCCCCAGTCTTCAGCATGCTTGGCCTGCAGGTTGACTTGTCGCAAAGCCCAAGCCGAAAAGTACACATTGGGCATACTACGTCCAGGCGTGAAGAACTGGCAGAGTTTCTTCAAGGTATCATTTCCGCAGGAAAGATCAAGCCTCAAGTGTGTGAACGCTTGCGAGGTGGAATGGTTTTCTTCGAGGGTCACTCCTTTGGTAGGATTCCTTGTTGTGCTATCAGGTCTCTTGCGTCAGCTTGCAGGAATGTCGCTTCTCCAGTGACGGTGAATGGTGAGATTAGGAAAGCTGTTGCCACACTCTTGGAGCGAGTTTCTTCAGCCGCGCCCTTGATTATCCAGCCGCTTTCGCGTGAAACCTGGATTCTTTACACAGATGGCGCCTGGTGCCTGTGAGCCTGATCAGTGTTGGGCAGGTATCGGAGGGGTCCTGTTTTGTGGCTGAGTTCTTTGGAGAATCGGTCGGCGCACAGCTAATGAAGGCTCTCCTTAATCAATCGCAAAATGCGATATAGGAGTTGGAAATTGCACCTATCTTGATATCTCTTGAGCTTTGGAGGTACCTCCTGCCTGGGACGCAGCTTCTCTGTTACTTAGATAACGATGGTGCGCGTCACAGCTGTGTCCGATCCTTTGCACAGCTTGAGCTTGCAAAGACTTGGGTTGCATCCATCCTTTGCCTTGAGACCTCTTTGCACATTTTCTAACATAGCGGCTGGCCCTGGCCGCTTGGACTTTTCAGCATCGTGCCTCAAGGGCCTCGTGCGTGCACGACCAAGCCTTGACTCCCTCCTAAATGGATGGGGGTCGCTGCAGTGAGTCGATCAAGGCGCGTCCCATTTGCAAGAAGAAGGCCTCGCTTGCTGAGTGAGTCTGTATGATACTCTTTGCGAACATGTTTGTATATTCGATTTGAATGTTACTCATATTCGGCGATTGGAGTTCAAACAATGCAACGCTATGATGAGACTGAGTCTTATTGAGTATTGTGGCAAGCAATTTTGAATTAAGTAATGCCGTGCTGGAAAATATTGTGATGCTGTGGTTTTGCACCGTGACCGTATGAACTGTTGCCAGGAGTTTGGTGTGGATCGTCCACAAGTCCGCATTTCGATTGTTGATAAATGGAAATTGTGAAAGGGTGTCATTGTGCATTTTGGTGTGTTGATTTATACATGGTCAATCGGTCTGGACAAATACCAGCAGAGGCATAGCTTTTTTAGCTTTGTCATGTTGTAGGACTGTAGGAGATTGATCATAGTTTAGATTTTGTTCGTTCATGTGTGGTTGTTGCAACTGCAACCAGTGGTAGAATTTGGTCAGGCCTGATTTGAAAATGTTGTAACGGTCGGCACGTACACAAGACGGAAATGAGGGGAAACGGAAAAACATGTCAAATTTGAGTTCAAGCGTGTCCCAAAACAGCTGTATGGAAAGCGTAGTCATGAGCAAGCAAAGCAGTCGTTTCCACAACAGGCCCTGCACAGCTTTTTTTCTCCGTGTTCCCATGTCATTCGCTATAAGCTTCTCAAATAGGTAATTGCGAACTATTCGAACTATTCGAAGGCAGGAAAGACAGAGAGAGAGAGAGAAAGAAAGAGAGATAAAAAATACAAAAAGAAAGAGAGGGGGAGAGAAAGAGGGAGAGCGCAAATTGCCAGCAGCATGTGCACTTGTTTGTGGTTCGGCGTGCTTAGCATTTGTGCGCGTGACAGTTGACTTAGACAAATTGGCAGCTTTTCAGCGTCATTGCATACATGGCATACATCACCCAACGCACCAGGGCCAGGGCACAAATAGCTATGTGCAGCAGACGCCAAAAACCAGAGGTTGTTGCAAATGTGGGATTTGAGATGTGCAGTCGGTGTGCACGAGACAAGCACGTTCAATATAGTACCATGAGTCAACCTTTACACAGTAGCAGTGTCGAGTGTTGCAACCGGGGGATTTGTTGGAATCAGGATTCAACAGATTATAGTACTGAAGGCCATTCATCCCCACCTTCTTGCCAGCCGCGAAGCGACAGCAACACATGACACCTGGAACCCCTGTGCTGGAAATGGTGGATTTCTTCGCCACGATTCTTTGTTCACGTTTAGAAATGAGCCACAGCTTTCTTTTGACGACCGGCAAAGACCCCAGCATCTGTCAAGCATGGCGGCGAATCCCGCACAGATGGGGCAGTTGACGCAGCTGCTCACGCAGACTGTGGCAGGAAATATGGAGGCAAGGAAGGTTTGAAACGTGAACTGTTGTGTTCCGTTTGTATGCGGCTTGGGTGTGTGTCAGTGTGACATCATCAAGGTCATGAAGGCTGCGGAACAGCAATTGCGAGCGGCAGAAGTGCAGTCAGGGTGCGCCGCTTAATCATGTGACAATGGTTTGTGCTTTTTTCAAAACGCAACCTTTTCTTCTTGTCCGAAGGTTCGGTTTAGTTCTTCTGGAGCTTCTCCGCTCTGGCAGTGTTGAAGCAGCTGCTAGGCAACGCGATTGTGGGGCACAAAGCATGTTTGCACTGAATGTTTGTATTTGCTGCCTTGCTCTAGCAAGTGGCGCATCACAGCAAAGCAGCAATTCAAATGGCTGGTCCCAATGATGAGCCCGGCGGCCGCGCAGGCAAGCTGGAGCCATATACTTTAAGAACTACATTCGACGGCAGTGGTCACCATCTCAGGCATTTGTAACATTGGCATGCGAGCTGATCTTACAAGCTTGCCAGCTTGCCCGCTGGTGAGCGCAAAGGGGAATGGGGCAGGCAAAGCATGCGTTGTGCCCAGGTGCATAGAAGGTGCTGGTGGTATTGCCGCTTCTGACCGGCAAGCCGCATGCCAAAAGTTCAGTGATCCATCTTTTCGAGCTTCGAAGCAGGCGTGTACAACCACTAAGGCCATCAAGCAGCACATTCTTTCGCTGATGCTCCAGGCACCGAAACAAGTCCAGGCGAGGCATGCCCATTGCAAGTTGCCCCATCCTGTGAGGCGGCTAGTGTAATCTGTACGTTGGCTGTAGAGCTGCTGGAACACAGGGAACACTGCAGGTTCAACTTTCGGCTGGTTTGGAAGAGATTTCCATCACAGACTATCCAGCAGCTCAAGCGCTCAGTTTATCAGTGACAGGCAGCAGTAGAGCGGGTCATGCGAACCATTAGCATACAGCTGAACCCGGCTGCAATTGTGCTCAGGAGTGGCAGTCGCTTTTGCCTGAGATTGTGCAGCACCTGAAGACTTCGCAGGACCGCTGTGTTCATGCTGTCCCCCTTTGCGGTCGTGTCAGTCCGCTGCATGATCGCACTCTGCGATTGTGCTTGCCAAGGACATGTCCGTACTGAAAGGCACCATGCAAACAGCACACACGGTCTTTCTGAAGCTGGGCCCCCAACCATGATGCGCATTTGGTAAGAAAACCTCAAGTTCTGCACCTTAAGCTTGTGCTGGCCAATGGAGACTTTGTCAGCTGCGAGGTTTCGGGCTCAGGCCAGATCGGAAGATTTGCTCAGGGAAGTCAAGTGCCCTCAGGCAGAAGATGTTTGAGCTGTCAGCCTGGACCTTTCAGGTACACCGTTGAAGGCTTTCAAGAGACCCACCTGGCAGTTTTCAAAGACCGTCCCTCAGCATTTGCCATGCCCACATGCGCCCAACAGCTGTCCTTCATGGGCCTGACCTCTCACCACAAAAGACCCCACATGCCTCGTGGGAACTCCACAAAAGCTGCGCGTGGTTCACCTTTACATGAGGCTGTTGCAAGCTTGTCTTTTCAGTGGCTAGAACATGATCTGAAGCCATCTCCTTGAGGCAAGCTGTGGGCAAGTGCTTCAGGGCAATCTGCCTCCGGATCAGCTGGGGTCTCAGAGAGCGCCATGTCACAGACCTCAAAAGCTTGCAACTTGAGGCTGATCGCTCACTTTGAGCTGCTGTTGGCTACTACAGGACCTGATCTCAGTCTGACCTTTGCTGCAGGCATGAGGAATGGCGCACATGCAAGTGGAGGCTATGCAGACAACATGAGAGCTGTTTGCAGCTGCCCTAGGTGCATTTTATTCCTTGAACGTCATAGACCTACCAGAGTTCTTCGAGGATCATAGAGAGGAGCTTGCTTGGTTCTGCTGTTGCCTGCAGGAGAAGTGACAACAAACCCTGAATTTAGAAATCAAAGTCCCTGATTCCAAAAGTTTCGTATCCCGAATGGAAATTTTCAGGTCCCCGATCGAAACTTTTGATCTCCGGTTCGGAAACTTTCAATCCCACAGTCGGAAGTCACACCTGGGTTTCAAGGGTTGTTGTTCCATCAAAGTCGACCACTTCGCCAGTGGACACCATCAACTGCCATCTTGAGTTTGGGGTGTTTGGCAGGGGCTGGGGGGAAGAAGTCCGTATCGTCAACCACTTTACCCCAACACTAAATCTGAGTTCTCCAGACTTGCAAAGGTTTGTGTCGAAGTCGGCGATTTCACTTCAGCGCCACAACTAACTCACAAACCCCAGACTTGGCACACAAGGATTTGATGGGTGTGCGGGGCATTGGGCCGGGGGGGGGGGGGGTNNAAGGCAAATTTTGTAGAAGGGGGAGGTGTGGAACCGGTGTTGTTGAGGCTTGGTGGTCATTTTGCATGATTTTGTGGCGGTTGGGGTTATGGAGGGCTCCTGAACTCTGAGATAGATCCCTTCACTTCTAAGGATTCTGAGGAGGTAATTTGTGGAGGGCTTTTCATGTGATACTTTTCCCAGTTATGATGTGCCGACCTTCATGGAGACCCTCACACAGCTCACTCTGTTTTTCACGGAGAGCTTCAACACAATCTTGGCATCCGCATGGAGGTGCCCCCGGAAAGCTAACGTCTCAAAGGCAGATTGTCACCTAGATCAATTCTACTGTGGCCACACCTTTAGAGTGAAGTCCGACTATGTCTCATACTGGTAAATGTTGGGGTGTTGAGCGGCATTTGGACGAAGACGAGAAAATGTAGGTTTCTTGCCAAATACGTTTGGTTGAGCTGTGATGCAAGAGAAGTGGTTTGAGATAAAAGACAGTGGAATGTCATGAAATGTGATGAAATATGATGAGGCATGTTGAACTATGAACAAAACCGCGGAGGTGAAATTTATCATGAAACTTGATGAATCATGGACAAAATGCTGAACATGAAAACATATGATGCACTTGAGAAAATGATGGAAATGATGAGAACCCATCAAAAACTATGATGATAATGATTGCATGTCATGAGGAACTATGAAAAAAAGTGATGAAAAACGATGTAATGCGATTACAAAGGATGAAAAGAAATGCCAACAATGACCAAAATGCAGAAATATGAAACTCTGAAAAGAGACTTCCATGTTTCGCGGCATCCTTCCTTACTTCCTGCTTCTTTCCCTGAATCGACAACGCTCCAAGCAAGAGCGCAATTTCAAGACCGAATCGGGTAGCCAGAAAGCCACGACGCCAGGGGGCACCGGGCAAAAAATTGAATAGCAATGATAATGAGAATACTCACAGACGCAGAAAAAATCAGGACACGTCCTCAGTGGTGGAAGGATCAGTAACGTCGGCGGGACATACGCGGGCATATTGAAGATGCAATGACAGATTTGAGAGGGAGAACTCCGTGCAAAGCGATTTCACTGCAAGGCTTTGCTGGAACTTCTAGGAGGCTTTCGCTTCTTTATATGCTGGCTTGAAATGCTGCTTGTGAGAACATGCACATACTGTTTATCTTTGTCCAAGTAATACACTCCCCCAAACTAACATGGAAATCCATATAGCCCCATTTTAGAGGGACTGTAGTCTTTATAGGGCCCCTTTTGGGTTTCCATGTTAGTTTCCAGGAGTGTAGTATATGCCCGAACCAGATGTGAGCTTGCGAGCGTGCTCTGGGCCACAGTTGTACCAGCAGGCATCGCTGCTGCGACATACCTTATGACTTGCACAAAAAAATCGTATTCAAGACTGTTGCTCCTACAGCATTGCTATTCATCATGTCTTCTCCGTTATTGATGATTTAGCCTTTTAATCGCTATTACTTAATGTCAGCTCCTGAATTTTGACAGTGACTACTACTGCCGTATTTATCCTTGGCTAGCTGATGTTGCCAGGAGTACTTCAGGGGCTTTCTTGATCTGCTGAAGTTCCAACACGAGGTCAGCAACCAAACCAACTTGTCTTGTGCTAGGCAAGCATGCGCTCAGCGGTTGTGTGTCTTCGCCGTGGCTATGTTGCACCTAGCGAGGCTGTTGCAGGCAAAGACCAGCAGGGTCTTCTCGAGCAGGCGATGTGGGTCATCGCTTGTTTTGTTAGACAGGGCCTGTTGTGGACGTCTCAGACATGTGAGTTGGGCGACTTCGAAGGTGAAAGGTGCTGTTTGTGAGTGCCTTGTTCTGTATGCAGATGCTTAGCTGCATAGTGAGAATCGATCATGTGTCTGAGAATCGCTCATGTTTGCATCCCAAGGAGAAGTATCAAGAGGAGCCATCCTCTAAGCTCAGATGCACTGCCGTGCAGAGCACAGGTACAAATATGCTTGATTGGACTGGACTTAGACGGCTCAATCTGACTGCTCAGACACTGGGTCTTTCAATCAAGTGTTGAATGCTAATTCGCACCAGAAGGTGCAATGATGTTTTGCCATCGGATCTATGCGTGCAACTCAACAACAGACGCCAAAGAATATAACGGACGCACAGGACAAGGACTTGAACTTGTGAGTTGTAATTCTCTGTTGTTAGAATCTCCGCTTTGCACTTGTTTTGAAGCTCTGGGGTTGTGAACTTCCCTCCGGCCAAGTCAGGGAATGGCAGTCCCAAGCTCTGGCAACAGGTCTGAGGTATGCAGTCATGGGGTCCGTTATTGCCGCAGAGATTCTCCGGCAGTTTGAGCTGTTGCTCAAGCACAGGCCAAATTTAGCATGAGATCCCACCAAGTCAGCCTCACGTTGTTGTTGGGTCACCCGCCTCACGACAGCTTGCACACTCCATCCGCGAGGGGAACCAAACTGGTAGCATTTCTTGAGGCCTGACAAGACTCAGCTCTAGATCCAGAAGTTTCTTGAGTCTGTCTGGCAAGCCAGCAACATTCGCGAACATTTGCCAAAGCTGAATCTGTGAACTCTAAGTCGGGCAACGCTGCTCACTTCATTTCTGGCTGGTAGTACTGCCGTAGTGATTCTTTTGAGCAGCCTTCACGGCAACGTCTGCTCGAAGCCGTGTCTGAGGTTTATGCCTTTCCTGCTTCCCTGCGTCCAGGAGGCAGTTCGCAGTAGTTCTGAACTTGTGCAGAGCCATCGGGAGCAACATTTCCTTCCTGCCAGACAGACAGCATCGAGTTTTCAGGTCTGGAGTCTTCTTGTAGGCCTCGACCAGCAGGACTTGTTTTAGATGAAGAAGGTCTTTTACTTGCCGTTATGAAGCACCATGTGGTGGCCGGGGGGACAAGACTGCATGTGCAAGGAGAAAAACGACCAGTTGGTTGCCAAAGGGATTCAGTTTCTTTCGTCCGTGGCCTGGGCACAAGTGGGCTACAGGAGTACCATGTCAATGTCACCAGCTCACAAAAATAACGCCCGGCTGGAAGACAGCGAGGAGGCTGCACGTACACCTTGCGACGGGAATTCGAGGTCAACTGCAGCGACTCAGTGGCCCCAGTCTCCTTTCGAGGCCGTTGGCTGCACCCTGATATGTTGTAAAGCCGGCCTCATCTTCAAATTGGTTTGGGGATCGGATCAGGATCCCAACGTCCTGTCGGGCATTTGTGAAAAGGCCCGGACTTTGGGCTGTCAATGTGCAGTTGGCAGGCAGGAAGCACAGAGTAGAGGAGCAGTTTGCCCCATGGATTCAGGTGGTCTTTCCAAATGTCTTGCTGCGAGACTCAGACATCGAGCTGTTTGAAGACAATCCCCTAGAGTGAGGGCCTCAGCAGCTCCTGCTTCTGTCTGGTTGGAGTGCGAATGCTGACGCAGCCACGGTGCTTCAACACCGCCGGAGGTATGTGCGGCGGGACATGGAAGCCGCAGACCAGGATGTTCCACTGCTCGGCATAGGTCTCTGACCACATAGCTCTGAATTTCCTCGTGCCAGGAAACGAGGAGAAGAAGTTCCATGGACTTGGTCAAGGCAATGGATTGGTTAGGTTGCTAGTGCTCAGATCCAGAACTCCAGGCAATGGGTCGTCTGAACGAAGCCAAGGCCCTGCTCCCAATCTAAGATGTGTCATGCCTGTGCCCCCGACAAAGAATTTCCTTGTTTTCCTCATAGGTCACAGAGATCTTGATCGGTTACGTGAAAGCCCTGATGGAAAAGGCCAGCACAATTACCCTTGCTACTGCACAGTACACGTTGTCCTTATGATCCTGTTCTTCGCAATGTTCGCATTGAATTCGTTGAGTCTGCAAAAAAGGCAGCTTCAGCTGGTGCAGGACAGGCAGAGCGCTTCAAGGAGAGCTTCGAAGCTGTGGGGGTTTAGCTCACCTGCTTCCTTCGCAGGATGCTTGCATCTTTCTGTGCATTGCCATGGCCGTGCGGGAACAGACCCACAGAGAAGGTGCCCAGAGGGTTTGCCTATGTTCACAGAAGTCCTTCCCTTCTTTATGATATTCTCCACTGAAAGATAGTATGCTGACCTAGGGATGTGATGTTGGCGGCAGATGTGAACAGCAAAGGGGAGGTGTTTCCAGAATTTTAACTTTCAGCTTGTTCTGATGTGCGCTACTCTATGAGCAGGTGCAGTGTCAAGCGTAAGTTCTTGCCGAAGTCAGGTGTCACGGTGACGAACCAGAACGTGAATGTGCATCCCGTCTGAAAAGCAGTTTAGCACATTTGCCGCATTGCGCTGTGGCAGGCCATGCTTCAGTCTGTTTTGGGCAGTCGCAGTCCTAGCCTAAAAACCAGTTGGATGCTAAAGCTCAGACACCAATCATATTTGCGTGTGCCAATGCGTATTGACAATTGTGACATCTCGTGACTACCAACCACCTAGCCTCAGGACCTAATCTGAGGCTCAGAAGCGTTCTTGGTTCTCACATGTCACATGGACAAGTCAAAAGACCAAGCTGAGAAGCAAGACTTCACAAGCAATCCGCCAACTGATTCCTCGAAAAAACCATCAATGCCTTCAGCCAAAGTCTGCATGTCACAGCACGTGGTACACACTTGTGATGGAGTCAAAATGGTGTCGGTTACGTCCACCATGCCATGATTCTTTAAGCTATTTCAGTGAACGCACACATCAATTCTACATGCATGTGCCTGCTATTCATCTAGAAGTGCTTCGCACAGCCTGAGAGCCTGCCCAAAACAGGTTATCTCGGTGATCATATTGGGCAAGAACATGACATGCTGGGAACCATCAAAAAACACACATCCACAGTTCACGTGAACTTGGCAGCCCAGCCCGCGCCGCCAAGAGTCATACAACGCCTTTGCCAACCGGCATCCCAATGCACTCGATGGCTCAAGCATTATTCCTTCAAGAGCATGGAAAGTGCACTCATAGCGTTGGCCGCTCTGGCACTTAAGTCTGGCGGCACAAGGGAGGGCAGCCCTCAAGCTAGATGTCACATCGGTTTCGGAACCAATGAGGCTTCTGAGGCGAGATGCGACGGACTCCGTGGGTCCATCATGATTTATCTCTCCGAGGCGGCCGAAATGTCGCCCACAAGAGGCTGCTGGGCCCGATAAAATGTTTGGTTGTCTGCCACGCAGATGCACCTTGCACTAACTCTTGCTGAATGATGGGAAGCAAATCTGCCTCACCATGCGCATGCAAATACTGCGGCACTTGATGTAAATGGGCTTTCAGCCTTTGGGTAGCCCAGAACTCTCTCCTACAAAGCATGCATGCGCCCCTCTCGCTGCCTATGTTGAAGGGGGTGCTATGCCACGGGCTTGTCGCCTGTGTACGGCACATGCCTGCTTGCTTTGCAGCCATTTGCAGCAGGTTTCACATGCGACCTCCTCATCCCGTTCAAGAAGGGTCTGGTCACTCAAGGCTGGTAGACGACAAAACAAGACCCCCACCCTCTCAGCTTCTGAACGGCAATGTGCTGCAGCATCAAGAACTTCATGTGACGTTTACTTGCACGCAGAATCGTGCCCTTGTGCTGCCAGCACAAATCCAGAAACCATGGTAAATCCCGTTGTCCACCCATGGAATGTCGAAGAACAAGCTTTGGAGCAACTCATTACAAGCTTTGTGTGGCATGCTGCGCCGTGCCACTTCATCAACTATGGCGGGCGGACCGCAATTCATCGTCCGCCTAGTTCGAGATTGTGCACAGCTGTCACACGCGCCTGGTGTCCAAGAGCTCCTGAGGTAGGAGGACATCCAAAACAGCAAATGCCTCAACGTGACCTAGAAATTCTGGAGAGAAGCCACCAGCCGGCCAGTTGGTCGTCTCGAGAACGACGTAGCGGTCGCATGGCATTTGGCTTGCTCAGCGTTTTGTGCTTTTGTTTCGAAATGCCGCGCCCTGGAGTTGCATGAATTTGTCAACAACATGCCTTCCGTGCAACAAACCTTATCAGACAATTGGATGCATCGGTTGAGCAGAATGGCTCGCCTAGTTGTGCGAAAGATTGCTTCAGTGGCAGCAGCCCAACGTTTCAACGCAGGCATCAAACAAGCATGAACATGGGTAAGCATGCCAAGGTGACGGTAGGGTATGTCGCAACAGTTCTCAAGCCAACAACGCGACCACCAAGCAAAGGTACACGCAACTCAGCATGTCCATGTACCAGGAGGTCACGGAGCACCTGCAAGTATCCGTGCTTCCCCGCAACACGGTTTTGGCTCCAGTTTTTCCAGCTGCAAAGTTCGTCTCAACCGCGACAGCCGCTATCAATCCATGCGCAAGCCCTACGACATGCTGGTCAAACTGTCAGCATTCTCAGCCTCAGATAGCGCTGCATCGACATCAACCAATGCAGGGATGGACGTCACTGCGGAATCTCAGCTTCCCTCCAGAAGCTCGGCACTTGCTCACCCTCCTGTTGCAGCCGCTCTTCCAATCCACCTGCCAACAATCCAAATGTGAACTGAAATAAGATGTCCACCAGCGGTTCATCGGGACCGGGGACGCTACCCTGTGGGTAGTCCCGATGAGGGACGTTTGCAAGATGGCAGGCCCAACCCCAATCTTTGTAAGAACAGGTGAGTGCATGAAGAATGTGCGAACAACCAGTTGAATGTCAAGCAATGGATGGATGGCGGCAAGCGGACACAGCCTGGCTGTGAAATTGTATCATCTTCAATCTGGACAGATGCTGCTGTTCGAAGTGTGATGGGAACTTCACTGGCGGCCCAGATGACAGGGATGTGGTGAGGCAGCCGCAAGGGACCCTAAGTCGGAAACGGAACAGTTGAGAACAGGGCAGGGGCGAGGTCAGACCAAGACCGGGCCTGAGTCAGGAACAGACAGGGGGCGATTCAGTGCTTTAGAGTTTTTGGTTTAGGGTTTATTCTCGACTCACCCCCTTCCTGTTCCTGACTCGCCCCTTTTTTGTCTGACCAAGCCTCCTGCCTGTTTCTGATTCGCCCCGTTCTTGTTCGCCTCTCGTCCCCCAGATGTGGCTCCGGACATGCCGGCCGGGGTGGAGCTCAGGTGCGAATCTCAAGCGGAGCGCTTTACAAAGGGCTTTGCACAAAGGCTCGATGAGCAACACAGATCGCCAAGCATTGGCCTTGAGTGGATCACGCCCTGGCGTAGGTATGGCCATAGCAAGACCCGCCGCCAAAGCAAAGGCCATTGATCCCGAGCCAGGTTAATCAGCAAAACGCGGGAACGCTTTGGAGGCTTCAGGTGGGATGGCTGATAGGCCAGCGGCTCTGCCACACGCAACAGCGAACAACTTTTCCGACGAGATATCCGGCAGCTCGTCGGGATGAACCAAATCATATCCAGGGCTGTTGAGCCAAATCAGCATGCGCTGCATCTGCAAAATGCTTGGTGCCCGATATTTTGTGCCAGCACGCAGCACGCATCTTGCCAGGCGCGCCTTCTTATCATGCCCTGACTCCACACCGATATAGCCGCATCTTGTCTGCTTGCTCGTAGGTCCCTGTTCAATTCAGGAATGTGAGGTGGCACTGCCGCACTTGACAAGCACAGCCGATAGTACTGTTGATAGAGACGAGCAGTTGCTTGGGGATCCGTGTTCCGATCGCACCGACACCCGACTTCAAATACCAAGCACAAAAGAATCCAGCCCCTCAGCTGCTTGTGCCTGCGCAGAACGTGTCAAACGTCGCGACGCACCTCGGCAAGCCCTGCATGTTTGCACTTGACAGCTTGCTGAATGTGAGTGTTGATGACATCAAGATGCGTATCAACACCAACATGCCAACGGATTTTGGTTATTGAGATGAAATTCTGCGCCATCCGCTGCCGACCTTCTTGCGTGCGCGTTGCATCTGCATTGTAGCATTCTGGCCGAGGCTCCATTGTAGCTTGCGGCAGAATTGTTACACTTCCGCATACGGGATTGTGAGCAAAAGAATCTGGCACGGCAAAAGGAACGATGCTCGACGCCACTCAATTGGCTCGCGCACATAGTCTATGGAAACTGGCCGCCCCTGCGAACTGAGTCATGAATGCACTTATCAGACTCATCGCCCGAGGCAGTCAACCGCATCTGTTGGCTGCACACGGCATTCCTCCAAGCAGTCGCAGAACACTTCAGCATCGAGCCCAACAACACTCTCGCGACAACATTTACCTGCGGCAAGATGTTGAATCAAACCTAGCGTTGGCATCCGCCATGAGGCAAGAGACATGCCCGCCTGGGGCTTTAAGTATCATGTGTCTTAGACCCCCCACCACCGCGCTTGCGCAAGATCATCAGATGCACCAGTAGTTGGCACATGAGCAGTGATGTTAATGAGTCTCATGCCCAACTTACGTCCGTCAACGGACAAAATTGTGGAATCGAAAACAATCTTGCATCATGCTTCAAGCCATTTTCGTCCATTTCGTAACAACATTTGGCCACCCAACGCTGGCATCGGGGCCCGCCAAATCGGTGATGGGGGCTGCCGCTTCCAAAGTTCTGCCAATGGAACAGTGTATTCACTCCAAGAACTGCCGAGAACTGAGCAACCGCCTTGTAGAGGCTTCGTGCTTCTTGCCAGTTGGTCTCGTAATGGCGCTTGTCGACCAACTCTGGCTTGGAAGAAGGCAAAGAATCGCGATTCGTCTGCAACTGCCGCATCCGAGTTTCTGGAGTCTTCTCGTCTGCTGACTCTTCGACATTCGTGTTTGCAATCACTGCCGATGGGGCGGGAGCTTTGGCTTCAGTGGTGCCACAACTCTGGGCGCAGCGGCTTTGGGCAACTGCTGGACATTCCGTTTAGGGGCAGGACTGTTTTGATATTCCCCTTGCCCTTGTGCATCCCATTGAGTCGCCTTGGCGAGCCCCGTCTGCGGGGAGAAGTAACGCACAAATTGTTGGACCCCCAACTCTCGGACTACTGATTTTGGTTGCACTAGGGATTTGAGCCCTGTGCCCGCGTGTACGCTGATGGCCGCTGCCACTCGAACCCACACTGGCCGCAGAATCTGGCCGTGCCTTTTACCCATGCGCCGCAACAGCATTGCCGAGACTGAGGCATTGATCTGACACTGTTCGCGTTCAGAATTCTTTGCACCTTGTCGCGAAGAGTACTCTTCGAGTGATGGTCCGACAGTGCCTGAATGCACGTTCTGTCCAGAAATCACACCGCACAACAAGGTACGTGTTTTGCACGCCTGCGCCTTTGTCTGTGTTGAAGCGATGATTCTTGTTGCGCCTCTATGGTGGAACGCAGCAATGGGACAATCACCCTGCACAGTGCCAATCAGAGGGAAGCTTGCAATCCAGAGCCTTGGGACTCGCGCATGCACTGATGCTGTGCGACTTATGTCTGAGCTGCACACTACGCGTACAGAGCTTAGGGAAGATGTGAGCTGCTTGGGCTATCCTTGGCAGCTGCAGTTGGATTTTTGGCCTTGCCTAGGGGATTGGGACTAAAGTAGAAATTGCCCTTGGCTCGGGCAGAAACGCCTGCATGCCATGTTTGCAGAAGGCAGCTAGAATCCCAACTGTGCGACGACTTTGTATCAGTGGGGGGTATGCGGGACACAATCATCCTTGGCTTGTTAGGAAAGCCTTGCCAAACCTTTTGTTTGAAGTCCTGCTGATCAACACTACTGGGGTTTGGGATTTCCTGGACTTCCGGGGCTGCTTTGTCGATGTTTCGAGAACGCTGTGCAGCAGGGATGCATGAGTACATGCAAGGCTTCACTTCTTCACGTCACTGGTGGCGCCTGAGCTGACTGCGGAGCCTCTGGTGGCATGGACGCAGATCCAGACACATCTTGTTGGCTGTCAGCCTTGTACTCGGTCATGCCACGGAGCTCGTACTGCAGTCGCAGCGCTCTGTTCTTCGAGCTTCGTGCCTGAAGCCGGAGACTCATGACTCATTAGCTGCTGGCCACGTTCTAATTGCTTCAAGAGACTCGCAATTGAGCACAAATTGTGCATAGTCCGCCAGGTTTGTGACGGTGTTCAGAAACCAGCTTCCAAGAGAGCAAGTTGGTCGGGCGCTAAAGGACGTGCAACGCAGGAGGGTATGCCTCAATGAGCGGCTGCAGCTCAGGCCAAGTACTGCCAGCCGTGTGTGTGAAGCTCAGCATTACAGATTGTCTCAAGTCATATGTTGCAAGTGATGGAGTTCTTGAGGCCGCCACATCACTTCCGAGAGTCCTGTGGACGGAAGCCTAGACTTTGTTTCAGAAGGAGTTGTGTCATTAAGCTCTTCTGTTGCGAGCTTGGTCCAAAGCATCGAGGTGCACACCTACGCTGCGATCTGCATTGAGAAGCTCTTGAGAGTAAGGGATGCAACGCCCCAGGCAGAACCGCTGGTTGAATTGCAAGCACCTTGCTAAAACTAGACAAATTCAATTGGTGTTTGCACTGCGTCGAATTGCCTGTGATTAGCATTCTGCAGCTTTTAAAGCTCGAACATTGGAGATGCTCCACAATTTCAACTACAGGAGTAGTCTAGAGTTACAACCAAAGCCTTACATCCGTGCGTGCTCAAAGACAGCCGCATCTGATGACGGTTTTAAGAAGTTGTTCTGCTGCATGTTACGATGACCTTGAAGAAGCGGGTACTCGAGCCGCACGGATCCCAGCAGTCGGAGCTTTAGAAGATGGAATGCTGTAAACATGTGAAGTTCATGACCGTACAAATCTACTGCTGTGCGTGCGCCAAGGAATCCACGACCTGCACGGCAAAGGATGTGTCTTGCTTCAGAATGGTGATGCAATGATGCAGGTCATTTAGCAAGCTCGCTTTGGCTCTTCCTTGTGAGTGTGGTTGTGGCGGGTGTATCTATGAGGGTGCGGTTATGCACAGTGGCCATTTATGTGCAGTTTCTAGTGGGCTCGTGGCGGTCCTGGCACCAGTGCCTACTGGCAATGTTAAAGTAAGGGGGGGGGGGCAAAATGGAAGTCCTTTGTTTACCGCTGTTGAACGAATACTATAACCACAAGACTACTGCTGCTAGTCTAAGGTTCTATGTAGAACAATGCTTACAAATTGTGATTATATCTGTTACCATTACCATCAATTTCATTCTGACTATGACTATTTCTATGGCATTTATGAGAAGTATCAGTATGACTAGTACTATCACAATTGCTACGGTTTTTGCTATATCAACAGCAACAACAGCAAGAACAACAACAACAACAACAACAACTTCTCGAACTACTGTTCTTCCTCTTCCTACAGCTGCTACGACCACTACCAGCACCACTACTGCTGCTGCTGCTGCTGCTGCTGCTGCTACTGAAACTGCTACTGCTACTACTACTGCTACTACTGCTGCTGCTGCTGCTACTAGTGCTACTGCTAACTACTAATACTACTGCTCCAACTACTGCTCCTGCTAACTGCTACTGCTGCTGCTGCTGCTGCTGCTGCTGCTGCTCCCGCAACTGCCACTGCCACTGCCACTGCCACTGCCACTGCCACTGCCACTGCCGCTGCCGCTGCCGCTGCCGCTGCCGCTGCCGCTGCCGCTGCCACTGCCACTGCCACTGCCACTGCCACTGCCACTGCTACTGCTACTGCTACTGCTACTACTACGCCTGCTACTGTTACTACTGTTACTACTGCTGCTACTGCTACTGCTACTGCTACTGCTACTGCTACTGCTACTACTACTACTACTACTACTACTGCTACTACCACCACCTATACCTACTGCGACGACGACGACGACTTTGACTTCGGATGAGCCAGGCATGGATTTTTGGAGTCGGCCAGGCCCTCCCCCCAACAGCATTTTACGCATATTTTTTTTACAAACCAGCTCCAAGCCCGGTGTTGTCTTACCTTCAGCCCAAGAAGAAAGGGTCATGCATTGTGCCGTCCAAGTCCCACAAATGGCACATGGACCCCCATGATATGTGTGAGTCTGGCCCAGACGCGTCACCACCATGATTGGGAGTTCGGCTTCAAAGCCATTCCCAGCCGCGGCGTGTGGGCAGAACTGTTGAAGCACTGAAGCTCACTGCGCCCTGAGCTGTTTTACGTTGCATCGACACTTATACGATGAATGACAGTAATTGCTCTGCACGGTATCTGCGCATATCCACATGCCGGCCCTGCTGGAACGCTTAAAGAAGCCTGTGCTAGCTAGAGAAGACGTCCTCCCGCCATCCTCCTTTAAGGGCAAGGGGGACTGTCACCATGACTCTGCAAGCTGATGGGATTGTCGTTTGAGATTTCATGTAGACTCGCAAGGGGCCTCCAAACAGGGGTGAGGTCACTCGCTTGAGGTCCTGCAGCCAAAGCTTCTTTTTCGCAGAGCTTGTGATAGAAACTCTGTGCGCCAGTGAGCTATTGCTGGATATGCGGCTTCATGCTCAATTCAGACATGCTTGACTGCAAAGTTGCAACTTGAAAGAGCTGGCTCTTCAATGGTTGACCAAGGCCGAGTGATGTTGCCGAAAGCGCTTTTGATCCAACACGGAACCCACCTTCCCTGGCGCAGAATCCTCTGCAGGTGGGCATGCAGCGGCTTTAGAAGCAGTTTCTAGCCTGTGTGACTTGTATTTGTGCTTTAAAGTGCAACATTCTTGGAGGTGGTCATCTTGATGCGCCATGGAGACAGGACACCGGTTCGCGACAAAATCAGATGCTTGACTGCAGAACTCTGTGCTTGCCAAAGCTGTGTGACTTAAAGGCCTTGCTCCTGCCTCATTGCAGGCCAGCTGGATATGTCGAGTCTGAATTTAACATGGGCGACCCTGCTTCCAACAACCGACGAAGTCTCGGCCCTGAATGGAATTCATGTGGAGCGAGCAAGTGGTGCTGGTCAAAACGCTTATGCTACCTTTGTGGGACATGGCACCCAGACTGCTTGCAGCAGACAGTATATTTAATGTATCATCATCATCATCATCATCATCAAGTGTTTCCTGAGCAACTCATGAAGCGAAATATTTGATGGCAAATTCGATGTGCTTGCTTTTTCATAGGTTCGTTCTGTTAGGAAAGAGGATGATTAGTTAAGCTTTTATGCCACCAGGTTATCTGTTGCCAGGAAGAAGCGCATGTTGAGTTGGGTTTGTTGTTGACAGCTTTTGGACTTCAGGTTGCTTGGGCCAGCTCACCAGAGCTGGGTTCCATCAGTGTCAGAATGCTGGCAAAGAGTTGCGAAGACGTTATGGACATGTCGAGATCCAGGCCTTCAGCACTGATGCTTGTACAAATCAAGCAATCCCGACATCAGGCTGCGAGCCAGATGGATTTTTGAATGTGCTTCTCCCTGCTAATCATGTCAATCCTGCTTTCTTCGGCCACCTAGTGGAAGTCCATACCCCTTTTTCCTTCAAACAGTCTCTCATACAATATCTTAAAAAATGTGAAGAAGCATGAAACGGCACTCACATGCTATTGCGCGACCTTGTGTTGCAAGGACTTTCCACGTACCATCCAATCAGCTGCCTCCGTCCTGGTTGGTTTTACAGCATCCACTGAAAGCGGGGCGAACCCGTCGAAAGCACCATCCACTCCAAGGGTGCTGGTACGAGCCCCAAGAGAGCAGACATTGCTTCCCAACTATGATGGCCGCTGTCGGCGCTTCGCTGAAGGTCGACGTGCTGCTATGGCAAAGGCAGAATCTACCAAATTAAAAGCACTGCGCGACCAGCTGGAGGCAGCTCTGCTTCCGCTGATTGGAGAGGAACCTTTGACCTTGGATTGAATACTGCTGCTAGCATTGGTTTTTCGAATTTGTAAGTAGCAGCTTTTTCTCTCTCAGGAGTGCTGTTCTGGACTTCAAGCCTCATTGCGTTCATCGAGATGCCGTGGGGGAAGTCCCCGGCATTGATTGGGATCTGGCTCACCTGGTGGAGCACTACAAAGCTTCGCTAGAGGCCTGTGAGAAGCTCATCTCCATGCAAGCACACATAGCTACTGTGGCAGGCAGCTGTGTACGCTGACATTACTCTGTTGCGCCTTGGCAGTGGGCGTCTTATGCAGGCACTGTGTGTTGCAACAACAGCTGCCGCTGCTTCACCAGTAGCTTCCTCACCATGATCACCACCGCAACCACCAGCTTGCTGTGCGCATGCAGGAGGTGATGGACATCCTTTCTGCTCCTGGTCGAGGAATTACCCTGCTCATGGCGCACGACAACATGCTGACAGCCTTTCTAGTTGCTTTGGGAGTGAGCTGCGAGCAGTGGCCTCTCTATGCTTCCCAAGTGGTGCCTCTTGGCTTAAGACTTAAGCTCATCTTAAAAGGTTGTTGAGATGCTCTGAGCCGACGGCACCTACTACTATTTGAAGGCGAATCGGACGTAACATGGGTGTAGTGATGAGTATAAACGGTCCTGCAGACCCTTGCCATAAGTATGTTTTTCACGCACATCAGGAGAACACGAGTGGAGTCTCCCCTAGAACTGTACTCGTGCACTCAACTTGCTTTTAACAAATTTCCACCTAGACGGTCTTATGGCAAAGGCTACACATCCACTTACAGAACAACAAGTTTCATGACAGCACCCAGACGGATTCCCCGATACCAAGTGCACCAGAAGGTTCGATGCTCGTTGCCCCGTCTGGAATCATTTGAAGTAGACAAATATGAACAGCCTTGTTGAAGTGGTCATCATGCTACATCCCATGCCCCCCTTGGCCTGTAGTGCACAGGCCTGCAAAAGACGACATTCCATCCTTCCTTACTTCCCTCTTTTTTCCCCTGCCTTCGCTTCCTTCCCGCCTTCCTTCCTTGAGCGGGCATCTCTCGAATCGACGAACCTCTAGGCGGGAGCTCAAATTCAAGCCAGGGGCCCAGAACCCAAAGCCGTGACGGGAAGCCAGAATGCTGCGGGGTCTGGGGACAGCCCGCAGGAAAGAGAACACAACAATGCCCACATACATAGAAAAAAGGCACCCGCAAGAACAAGCCTCCCCAGACACAATCCAAGCAGGGGTTAACCAAATCAAGCAACACAGCTGAGAATCACCATACTAGAAGCTCCAGCAGGGCTATGGACGCGAAGATCGTGATACCGCATACCCTATGCTTCTCCAGACCACCAGCCCTTCACTCTTCATACGGTCGTGCTGGAGGAAAATACGTGAAATCATGCGCTTCTGTAATCTATCTTTAAACTGTGCAGAAGATTAAGAGGCAGCTCGGCGGATCTCAAACCATGGCCTCAAAACTCTATGTAATTGTGGATTGCATTGCGAAGGAAAGCAACGCTACCCCGAATTTTGTTCGTTTGTTTTTGGGAGCCACTGAAGATAGACATGCTTGTGCCGGGAAGTCGTTTGCCTATTCTTTCGGTGAGCTTCACCGAGGCTCGAGACGGCTAAGACTGACACAGCCCTTGAAGTTCGCGTCTTGATGAATGATGAGGCAGTGGGACCGCTTTCGTGCAGTGAACTCTGTGCCTTCGTTGAAGCCGCAGGTGTGCCTGGACTGGCAGCCTATGGCTGACCTTTACGAGAAAGTACGTCCGGTGGCCATGTCCAAACAGGAATATGAAGCTGCCTTGACGGATGCTTAGATCATAGCTGTTTCGTTGCCTGTGGAAGCGAGAAGTTGAAGGCTCTGCCTTTTGACCGCGAAAAAGCAGCTGCTTGCAAACCTCAGACTTGCTGGATTCTGACTCAGTCAGGCCTTGCACATGCAAACCGAGCGCAGAAGCTGATTTGGGAAGCACATGATGGGGCGCTAGGTTGTTATGGTTCTCGAAAGCTCATACGTATACCTGCGACAGGGCCAGTTGATGCCCCGCTACGACCCACCGTCTCAGACTTGGTTTCAGATGTTTCATCACTGTATGGGCTCTTGGACTTGGCTTGCGAAGGTCCATGAAAGGTCAGCTGCTCCAGATGGTTCAGCCCATTCTTCAAATTATTGCCAGCAATAAGGCCTTTCTGCAGTGCCTGGTTAGACTTGCCGCAAAATCAGACTTGGCAAGCAGCAACTCCTGCCGCTACAGGGCATACCCATGAACGAGTATCTCATGCGGACCGGCGGGGCTGATGGCCAACCAAGCGTGCCAATCTCACACATAGCTTCCCACCAATATCTAAACATGTAGCTACATTTTTAACTTGCCAGCCAGGACTGTTGCACGAATCTTCAGCTTTTTGAAGCAGCAGGCCACGTTTCTTGATGATTGGGCAATGCGTGTCTTTCCTTTGCTGTTTTGGGGCTTGGGGGGTATGTGGCACGATGGAATGAGGACCAGCAATGCTGCGTGTTAGACTCTTCGGTGAACATGCGCATTCTCTATTCCCGCAGAGTTTTTTCAATCTTGCAATCTTTTTGGTCCGACTTATCAAGCCACATGCTTTTGAACAGATGTAAACAAGCCAGAAGCCTTTGATCCACTGGCGTTCAGAACCCATAAATCATAACTAATATACACTGCGCAGTGGAGTGGAGAGCGGAGTGTGCTTGAAGCGAACATGTCGTCTGTGCTGTCAGGGCAGCGAGTCGGGCTTGGCAACGTTTCTTTGCCGGAAAAAAGACTTTTCGGGGCGAGCTCTGTTGGAGCACTTTGTGCTTTTGTTCGTGTTTGGTATTCTTCTTGGAGCACTTTCTTCTGTTTTTCTGAGGCTGAGCCCGCTCTCGGCCATCCTGTTGGCGATGTCTGCCAATCCTTCGAACCCTGTTTTCAACCATTGCCTCTTTGAGGAGCGAGTCTGAAGACGCCAGACATGCCCCTGGTAGTTTGAGGGAAAACTGAATACGTTACATGCTAGGCGGTTGCCTCCATCGTGAAGGTGTGTGTGCCAGCGCAGCCTGATGCTGCTAGAAGCTTGGGCAATTCCCCCCCCACTTCATGCCGTCCTTGCAGATGTGACTAGGTGGAAAGCGCCCTGCTGCCCACCTTTGGGCAGATCCTCGCTGCCATCTCAGCTTTTCAACCAGTGTACGATGCATATTCAAGGCAGATGTGCACAGGAGAGAAATGTGGTGGATTTCCTGCCGTATGGCTCTCAGCTTCTTCATGGACTTGAGAAAAGACATCATTGGGTCCTGTTCTGCCTCGTCGACAGCCTGTTGTGAATGTCCAGCTATGTACTTGTAATTGTCCGGTGTTGATTCATGAGTCGGACGTTCTGGTGGTTTGCTGAGGTATACTTTTCAAATTATGGGCCTATTGCTTGATGCACGGGCCCAAGGGGAATTGCCACATTCGAACACGATTTGTAACTGGCTCAACGAATTCATGTAACATGATTTCCAGCGCAATGTCCAGCTTTGCACGTGAGAGATGACTGCGACGGCTTGTCACACAGAAAGCCTTGCAGGCCTCGCCAAGTATTAAGCCCCTGTACACGGAGCTTTTTGCAAGGCACGGCGCTAAGTGTCCAACAGGCCTCTGTTGCCTACAGCCAGTGGGCTCATGTTGCATGTAACGAGACGGGAGCGGTTCGATAGTTACTGTTCAAGGGGCTCCTGTCGCACAAATCCGGTTTCGAGAGAGGTGGTGAGAACGCAATTGTCTGCACTTCTACGAATCGTGTGTTTCAGCGTCATGTCGATCAGCATGGGTGGGAGAGCGTTTCTCAACCTTTGGGCTGGGCCGCTGGCTGAGTTTTTCCTTATTCTGCAAATGGTCAAGCACGCCAGGAAAACACTACAGATTTTGAAGTTGCTGAAGGTTTGACGGAAAGACATCGCACTGAAACATGGCGAGTCCGCAGACGTGCGTGCAAATTCTTGTCCGTAGTTGCCGTTCTCCCACATCGCTGCCTAGGGTAAGCAGGGGGCAAGTCGGAAAATACGCGCTTGTGCGGCTGATGGCACGGAGGGCCCCCACCAAAATCTGATGTTAAGTTTTTTCCCGGGTACTGGGACGAGACACATGGCGATGCTGGCCTGATGGTTCAGCCTCATTGGCAACATTGGGTCCATGTTTCCCATCCCCCTTCTTTCACTGACCTATCGCCTGATCAAGCATACCAGGCTGCTGTGGCGGTGTCTGTGTGTAAAAGGCTTAATGAGGGCTCGAAAACTTGTGTTGCTGTAAGGGATTTTATCAATTTCTTCTTTTTGTCATTTTGGCGAAGTGGCATCATTGCCGTTGCCCATTAGAGGCGTCGTCCGTCCAGGAAATTGCATCATGGGAACTGTCTTGAATGCAATTGCAAAAGCAGCCAGAACTTCAGGAGCACCAGACGCTCCGCAAGTTGAGAGAAGCGGATTTGCAATGCTGCCGATAATGCTGTCCTCCCGCAGAGCCCCAGATGGACTTGAAGGATGGAAAATTGTGCAGGGAAACAACACGTTGTGTCATGGAGCGAGTGGAAAGGGAGGAAACGTGCCCGCCAGCTCCGAGAGCCAAGCACGTTCCGACTGATGAAATGTGAAAGGGAGAGGAGGGTGTTCTGGCCTGTAGCCAGCAGTCGTTGCGGTAAGCTTCCAGTAGCATCACTGTTTTGAACAGGCCTTGAGGTTCTGAGGCTCAAGTCACGATGAATCTGCAACTCTTATTGTGAGAGCTGAGGCTTTTGACGCCTGAGCTCTGGCGGTCCCAGGCCACCTCAGATCTGTGGTTCTTGCCAGTGTTGTGATTTAGTTGTTGGGTTTCGTGCAGCCTCTTGGCTTTGGTTGGGTGGTTACTTGACTACGGGGCCGCAGCGGGGCCACAGCAGCCTGCGAGAATCCTATCGTATCAGTAGAGATGAGACTGGCTGAGGAGTCATTGGCCCCTGACCGGGAGTTGGAGCAGCCAAGTTCTTGCTGTTCTTGTTTCTGTAATTCTTTTTTGTTGTTTACCGTCGTCGTCAATCTGGCTGTAGCGGTTCTAGGAGATAGGAACGCATGCAAGATGGATTTTCAGTGCGTGAAGAAGTGACGTGTTGTTGTTGTTGTTGTGGTGGTGGTGGTGGTGCTGCTGCTGCTGCTGCTGCTGCGGCTGCTGCTGCTGGTGCTGCTGGTGGTGGTGGTGGTGGTGGTGGTGGTAGTTTTGGTGGTGGTGGCTGGCAGGTGTCGAAGGATCATCACATGGGTTTTGGGCACAACTTCTAGAGATCCACAACAAGCCTTTCTTTGTACCTTAAGGTGAGTCTATCCAAACTTGCGCCATATCCTCGTTGCCACTACAGTCTCAACTGCCAGGTCCCCATTTCTGGGCCCGAGCGCGTCTAAGACAGCAAGCCCTGGGCAAGTGGTAGGTTTCCCACTTTCCGTGCAGTGGAGGGCACAGCCTGTTCATCATGCTAAGCATCCTTTAGGAGTACTGTAAGGTTCCAGCGGAGTCCCCGAGGTGCTCAGCGGAGGAGCCTATGGGGGACAAGCGGTCTGCAAGCAGTGTAGGTCCGAAATAAGACGTGGGTCCAACTTTCGTCTCACCACAGTATTCTCAGATACGCAGGAAGGCAAGAGGTCATCTCCAAAAGCAGCCGCCAAGCCCTGAGGGCAGACGCGCCCGCTCAAAATGAGCTGTTGATTGCCTTCGTAGTAAGTTGCATAATTGCCCTTGCTTTAGATTCGTCCAGTAAGACACCCTTTTCATGCAGTAGGTGGCAACCTTGTAGGACCGCTTAGGTGCATATCGAAGAGATGGAAGTAAAGGACTGCGTCAACTCAGCTTCAGGGCCACATGCGGCAAAATCTCAGAAGCCTAAACGTAGGACTTGCTCGGCTGCGTCACAGGCTGCACAGGACGAGCACCAAGATGCTGGTAGTGCCGAATCTCGCCCCTTCGACTATTGAGCAGATGTAGTCATGGTTTCGCTCTCGCCTTGGCTGGACTCCCGGCTTGTTCGGTGGAGGCGGCATCAAACCGGCAGACTTGCAGAGGTCCGTTTCTATATCAGGGGTCGAGATTTGTGGTTCTTGCGAGGTATCAACGCGTGTGGTCCTCAGAGAAGTGCATACAGCAAAAGTTTCACGTGACTTTCGCATTGCAGCTGGAAGCTTGAACACTGGATGAACGCCTTGCCCAAGACGAGTCGGCCCAAGAGTAATGAAATCAACTGCTATACTTGGTGATAGCTCACCAGCTGTTGCCTTAAACGCGTGGTGCCAAACAGAACTTCATACCCTTGAGCAGGGTGATCCAAAAACCTGGATCGATTTCGCCTTCAGTAAGGAGATCGAATTAATCAGGAGGCCAAGCAGTCTCACACGCTCAAAGCGCTAGGTTCAGGCAGCTGGAAATCAGGTGGTCATCTTCCCATTTACGCGCTTATTTCTCTTGTCCGGCGCTGGATGCTTTCACGCAGAAACAGCCCAATGAGATCAATTTGCTGCTGACGCAGCAGTCAGTGCGAGAGGCCGATGAGGCGTGCGCTTCGATTCTCACCCAAGTGTCGGAGTTTTTTTGCCCCGTCAGCCGGCTGCTAAGTCTCTGCCTCAGACGGTCGATCTATACCGCAGACTGGCGAAGGTGGGCAGGGCAGAAGGCCTGTGAGGCCCAAAAACGTTGGGGCGTCATAAAGCCTCGCGAGGCAGTGCCTGCTGGAAGGTGTGTTCTTCGGCCGTCTCAGGATCGATCTGTCAGTGTCTGGAATCTCACCCTGCTACTTCCTGGTCTTCTCGACGCAAATTTAGGATTCCTAGGCCTGGCAAACCTTCAGACAAGCCGCGAGATTTGCGACCAACGGGCATCTTGCGCTTGACCCTACAGTACTACAGGCCCAGCAGGCGTGCAGGATGTCCCGCAATTACGCATCTTCGAGGAAAGCTGATGCGCAGAGCAGGCTGATCCAGTCCGTGGCGTCGCCTCTGTGAGCCTCTCCGCAGGCTGTCGGGCTGTCGGAGGCATTGTTTTTGCTTCTTTTATGGACGGATGCCTGTGTGGTTTTCGCTCACTCATGGACCGCAAGTCAACTACCGGCTCTCTGCCCGGGGGGTGGTGGGGCGGCGACAGGGGGTACCCTCCTCACATGCAAGTTGTGCGGGAGAGAGTGGCCGTTATCGGTGTTGCCAAAGTCCTGATTGACAGCCGACAGGGGCACAAGCTTTTCTGGAACAGCTCCAGTCTTTTAGCCAAGCTTGCTGGCAAGTCCTTTGCAGCAGTGAACAAAAACTTTTACCGCGTGGGCCAAGGCTGAACAAGGCCTCGAGGTGAAGTTGTGGCGCGTAGGTCCACGCGTTCAGCAGCCGTCAAGTGTTTTCCCTCGAGTAAGTGCGTAGGCATTGGCGCTTCTTACCCAAGCAGATTTGAAACCCAAACCTTTGGCGCCAGGTCCCTGAGGTTCGATCAAATTCCAGATGGTGTTCAAGTACGTGTACAGTCGCAGGATCGCTAGTACCGTCTCATGGCTGAAGATCTGCGTGGCTGTGCTCTGGCCTACCTTTCGTTTGGCTTAGCTCTCCCAAGAGTCTGCCAAGTTGCATTCGTGGTGTGCCTACAAGCTGCGGTCAGTCCTGAACAAGGCAGCGCGTGTTACACGTGTGCCGGCTACAATGGTTTCCCTCTATACTCGGTCGTAGACCCTGTGGTAAATGTGCATCAACAATAAGTGAAAGGAGATGCAAATCTGCGCGCCAAGGCCGCCTCAGCTCCAGACATAACTTGTGAGGAACGGACTATATCGCAGGCACGCCGTGTAGCGCAAAGCCCTGCCGAGGGCGCTGGAGGTCACAGATGAGGGCTGGCAAGCAGTTGAGCCTGAGCTTAATTACAAATGTTTCCGCCGCTCCTCAGCTAGTGGGTTTTGGAGGCCCGATTTCACGATGATCAAGTCCCAAAAATGTCAGGCGCGCCCAGTAAAGCTGTGGGCTGGGCGCATCGCCTCGCAGACTCCCAGACTCCTTGTCCATTCTGCAAGTGCAAGGTACAGGTCAAGGATCAGTGCCTCTTTCAGTGCATCGTGCGTTTTCAGGTGGTGCTACACTGGCATATGTTGGAGATGACTTTCCGCTCCCTTCCAGCGACCCCATCCGCCGACAGGCACGCTGATGAGGATTCGGAGCCTAATACTTACTAGCGCCTGCGGTGCTAGAGTCCTGATTAACTTCGCAAACTCCCGCTACACGAGTGTAGCACATGAGTACTTCAGGCACTGTCAAGACTTCACAATCGTCAGCTGCAACTACCCCATGTTCACGAAGTGCTGCGAACGCTTCAGGCCAGGTCAGGCGAGCCGATGAGGCCTTCAGGCCTGTGCACCTCATTTGCCGCGCGGTCACCGCGATCGGCGCTTCTGGCGATTTGATGGCATACAGCAGGAGGTGGCGGAGTTTTGCGTGTCTCTCACGGCCGGTCACACAGGTGACCTTGAGCCAGCCCCGTGGCAGGCTAGGTCAAAGGTGTGCAAGGTCTAATGAGCAACTGGTACTGCAGCAGCAAGGCCGCGCCCGATGCGTCCTCCGCGATGTCCGTGCTCTCGTCGGCCTCCAGGGAGATATATATATATATGTACATATACATTCACATGCACATCGTTGCGCGAGGCCTGACTCGAGGGCAGTGGCCTGTCGCGCCTGTTATTCTGAGTCGCAGGTGGCATGGCAAACTATATACATACATTATGTATGATATATATATATACATATACATAAATGCACGCATGCATTTATGTACGTATTTCTGTATCTGTGTGTGTATGTATGTATGTATGTATGTATGTATGTATGTATGTATGTGAAAAGGAAATGGATGTTTCTTCACACTCGCATAGTGTGGTCTTCGCCCCGTCGCGGATTTTCGTTTCGTCTTCTTATCTTCTCTTCACGCACTTCGAGCTAGATCGGGAATCCCAGCTGTCAGACATTGATCTGGCCTTTACTTGGATGGCGTATTGGGCAATCTGTTGCGCTTTTTGCCAACTGGGCTTTGCTGATTCCCAGCACTGGAGCTGAATGATTTTTTCATTACAATGATGAGATGGTCCTGCGTGGCCTTTTCTCATATGCATGCTTTGGTCTTCCATTGATGAAGTGAGAGCGGACTTGTTTCACTTACTTCCCCCTAATTCTTTGGTTGTGGTGTGTTGTTTTTTTGGTTGTTTGCAAACTGGTTGCATCTGCTCTGTGATACGTCACGGGATGCAACCCTTTAGTGGGTGTACAAAGTACAGCAGCCATGAGCTGCCAAGCTTAGGCTTGCCTACAAACCGCTAGGCGTCTCAGTGATGCTGCGCATTCAAAGTCAAAAGACTCATACTTGGCTTGTGGCTTAGAGCATCAAACTTCACGTAGCATCAAGGTTTCATTTTTTTCATGAGTGCCTGGTCGTAAAATGCCCGCCAACCTCAAAGCATGCTCGTGCCGCGTTCAATTGAAGTAACTATTGTTGTTGTTGTGGTTGTTGTGGTTGTTGTGGCGGTGGTGGTGGTGTGGTGGTCGGCGTGGAGCAGTGGCGGGTTCGGATTTTTCTCAAATTTGCCCTGAGCCGTCAACTGACGACATGTGCAGATGGGAAGAACGAAGCTCAGGTTGGCAAGGCTTTCGGATTTTTGCAGATCCAAGTGCTGTGCAGGTCTGTAGCAGGCCAGCAAAACCAACAAATAGTCGATGGCTTTTGCAGGTAAGCAATCCACTGGATGCAATCTCAAATCGAAATTGTACCATGTCAAAACGAACTTGTTGAGAGAACGTACTTCCATGGGAAGGCAAACGTGCCGGGCCTGATTAGACTTTTGCGTTGGCGCCTTAGGATTCTGCCTCCACGGATCATGCACTGTGTGTGCAGCAAACCATCACAAGGTGCTTATTTTGCGAAGCACGCTGGTTTTGCCGAGCTGCTGAGGACGCACATGCAGGCAGCGAGGGAGTTGCTCCAAAATTCAGTTCCGGCTCCTTTGCGCATTTGAGGCGATCCTCGAAAGGTTCCAGTTCGTCCTTATGAACCGGAAGACCGAGGCCTGAAGATGCATCAAAGCCATGCTTGCGTAAATCGATGGCGTGGAACGCCCGCAGTAGCCTGCATTTATTTCACTGCATCCCATCCATCCATCCATCCATGCATTCATCTATCCATCGGCGCATTTTTTTAAATATGTTTTTATGACTGAGGTAGCAGCATTAGATTTGCCCCCCTCTCAGAACTGCACATGTGATCCCCAGTTGCGCGTTGCCAAATGGGATCACAGTTACTGACGTTTGCCGAGGCTTAATGCAATGTACCAGTACCTGCCGATCGAGTTTTACCAGCAGTTTCTGAAGACGTTGATGACCGTTTTGCGACAGCCCTTACAACTGCTTGTGCTGTCTGTCCAGGGTGGTCGTCCTGCTTTCAAGTCATGCAGACAACTGGGATTCAAGTCCTTGCTTTTGCAAAGGTTGACTAGACTGCAAAGCAGCAAGTCACCAAAGTTCAAGCGGGACTTTGTTGTCTCATGCTCGCCTGGGTCTGAGACAGTTTGGGCAAAGCAGAAGATCTTTGCTTTGATCGCTTAAGCGAGGGAACAATTGGTTGTTTTGTTCCACAGCTGGCGTTGGTGCTGGGTTGCTAAACATGGCCAGTCTCAGCCTTGGCCTTCCCGAAGTCCCACCCAATTCTTCCTGCAATCTCCACGGCAAGATGATCCCTGGGGTGTCCACGTTCACACTTGAAATGGCAAATGGTAGCAAAAGGAAAGCAAGGACTCTGAAAGTCATGGATAACTTGCAAGAAACCAGGAAGGGGCCGAAACGACAAGCTAGCCAGCTTGAAGGGTGGGGAGCGTGTTGCAATGGTTTGGGCTTAGCAGGCATTTTCCAGATCAGCGTTGACTACTGCGGACAGCCGGCGGGCCGAGGCTTTGCATTCACAAGAACCAGTCAGTCATACCTCTCTTCAATGAGATACAGGCCGGCTGAACCCCTTGCTTCAGCATCAGCATTTGCGTTTTGCGTTTGAAGACGGAAGCTTGCGAATTTGGCCTTGTCAGTGTTGTAATTGGCACAGGCTGGCCTGCTAAGCAACCTCATGCTCAACATTTGGCCACCCGTGCTGAAAATGCCGCTGAGAACAGACGAACGCAAGGCTTACGAAGATCCAAATGCCCTTCATGGCCTTCATGCACGTGCGTGCCAGTGAGTGAGTCGAGGTGTGCGTCATGGCGGTTGCCAAGCTTCTGTCCCTGGACGAGCTGAGACAGCCCGCTCCCCGGAGATGGCAGACGCAAGAATGCCTCATTACATTGCACATCATTGCACTATGGTGCACTATGCATGAGCTGAGAAGATGAAACGAATCAGGAACACGCAGCTGGTGGCTACTTGTGCCGTGGGGATTGTCCATCTGCTCCTCGGCAACATGCGCCAACCCATCTGGCTTCTGCCGGAAAGTCTGTTGAATTTGTATGAGGCTGGGCCTTTCATCATCGAACAACAAATCAAAGTTGAACGGTGACGACGGTCCATAGCTTGGATGCTGTTTGCCTGACCGGCTTCTGCGTAAAAAGCCGTGCGTCTGGCAGCTTGAGGTTCGGATGATGAGCCCCTGGAAAATGGGGGTGCAGGTCAGGAGTTGGCCTCCTAGAACGGAGCTGCAAGTAAGTTGACATCAACAGGCAGTGCTCGAGAATTACTCTGCTCGAGGTATGAGGTATCCTTCAACAAGCTTCAGAACACTGACCTCCCTGGTGCTGCAGCTGGGCTGGCACCAGACGCACCCTGGATGCAGTGAACGGCAGTAAGCTTGAAGAATGCGAGAGCGTGCGAGAGCTGAGAGGTCCCTGAGCTGCAGTCGGCGGCGAAGGCAGCCCTGAAGCCTGTCCTGGGGCCCGCTGGCATCTCAACTTCTCATCCAAGCACAGTTCATACTCTTCTAGCCTTTTCCAAGAACAACGAGACAAAGGGGCGAATCTACTCGCACCCACTCAGTGTCCCAGTGAGACCTTTCCATCCAAAAGCGAGGAAGCAGACATGCAACTGAGCTTTGCGAGTCAATGGGGAATTAGATGGAGACATATCGAGTTCTCAGCTCGCGATCAGATGAGAAATCACATCGTGACAGAGAAGGCTCAGAGAAGGCTCAGGCAAGGAGAGGCCTGCGTTGAATTCACGGCTCGTCACTTGCGATGAAATCAGCAGTCCGTGCTCTGTGGATTCCTTGCGCCTTCTCTGTTTGCAAAGTAATATACGTACAGACGTATGGGCACACTCAGGTGAAAACAAATGCTCACTTTGTCCGCCCTTTCACTGCAATGGAAGGAGCCACACGGGCAGATTTAGGCGCAGATCTGTTCTACTACCGCCTTTACCCCTCTGTGCTGAAATGTAGAGTCGCATGAGCAAACTTGAGTAAACTCAGTTAGAGATGAGTCATACGCAAAGCAAGCACTCCTCCCCCAGGCAAAAATCCCGATAGCATTCAGGTGCAATGCTTGCAGCAAGGGCATCGACAAACTCTGCTCAATCTCTACAACATGTAGAGTTTCGACAGAAAATCTTCAGTGTGGGCTTCAACTCTGATTTGCCACTTTGGCGTGCGCGGATTCTTGTGTTGAGTCAAGAATCCTTCCTGGAATCAGAGAGGCTGCAGTAGTCAACATCAAACACGGCGTTTGCCGTGCGCAGTGGTTTCATGCTCGGGCCAGCAAGGCTTTCAAAACTGCGTGCCCAGGTTGCAATGCAGCTGGCATCAGCAAGTGCTGAGTTGCAGTGGCAGTCTCAGTGGTATACGCTTCGGCAAGTCTTATCTCAGTGCCAAGTCAGTCGAGCTAACTCTTGGGAATCGCCGGCCCACATGCCCGCCTTGACAGGCCGCTGGCGGTTTTTTTGCAGTAGCATCGCCGTCACGACTGAGTTTGCGGTAGCTAGGACAGCTATAGATCGGAATATATAGATCGAAATATTTCTTGGTGAGCTTACTATCAGACTTGGGTTTCAAGAGAGGCCCGCGGCGCCCCATCTCTAGCTGTGAAGTCTTTGTGCCATCCTCCATGGATGGAATCTGGAGTTTAGGTGGCAAGACGCCCCGCTTCACAACCAACCGAGAAGATGCCAGCATGACTCTCGATCTAGCAAGGCTGCTATTGGAAACCATATCGAGTTCGAATCATACGTATCATATACCTGAGCAAGCCCGACAGCTTGTGAAATCATGCGAGTGCTCTTGCTTTCCCGAGTCATGCTATGCGCATCAAGCGACTGCTAGGGCGGAGAAATGCTTCTCGGGAAAAAGAGGAGACGCAGCAACCAGTCTCTCTGTACACTTTGTCTTGTGCTCGCATGCCCAACTCAGCCTTTCTTGCTAAAACCCTGTCCAGAAGAAACAGAGGCCGGCACCCAGTCTTCTCAGCTACTTGTGCGTCTTCCACCCACCCTCGTACAGATTTCTTGAAGCGAAGAGCAGCGTCAAGCGATAGTGGGGTGTGTTGCGCTGACAGGTTTGCCAACCAGCCAGCTTGTTTGAGGGCAGCAGACGTGCCTAGTCCCGGCTCTGGTTTGCTGTGACATGTCTCCACCGAATTGTCAAACAAGCCTGCGGCATTCTGACAGCCAGTGCCGCAAGATCACGTTTGCAGTTTGTCTTGGCAGTCTGGCCGTTGGTGTGGGTATTCCATCATACAGGCACCGGCTGGAGGAAGAGCGAGCAGGAGTGTCTGCAGGCACCTAGAGCGAGGCAGATGCCCATCCGTTTTTCGGCTCAGGGAGATCTCGTGCTGGCCCATACATTTGCCAGAAGAGTAGTGCCAATAACAAGGACTGGGCATGCTACTGAAGCCTCTTTCCGTTGTACGCGTGCCTGCTACTACTTATTATACATTGTCATCTCTTAGCTAAAGAAGATTCTGGCCACAACGTGTCCTCCTTAATGGCCAAGCAGATTCCGTTCTTGTTGCATCCTGGCTGCACGGGCTTCCCTTAAATCCCAGTTGTGGACGAGCTGCCAGAGTGCCAGGCGATGCGGATGCTTTGGCTTGAGACTAAGTCGCCATCAAGTTCTGCACCAGATGCATGGATACTGGACTGTCTCAAGCAAAGGCATGGGCTGTTTGAAAGTCCCGGTGAACCGAGTAATATACCTAAGCGAAGCAGATTGCAGCCTGAATAAGATGTTGCAGACCACCAATGGCTAAAACTGCAAGTAATTTCCGCGATCTTCTGGCCAAAGAAGTCTGAGCTGTTCACCGAAACACGCTACGAAGCGAGAAGCAGAAGTGAAGGGAAGTAGTTGTAGACGGTGGTGGTGGTGGTGGTGGTGGTGGTGGTGGTGGTGGTGGTGGTGGTGGTGGTGGTGGTGGTGGTCGTGGTTGTGGTCGTGGTCGTGGTCGTGGTCGTGGTCG